TAACTAACGAAATGAGCAAAATCGATCAATCTCTGTGTAAAGGGTGTTTTTTTAAGCATAGAACTTTGAAATGGAATAAAACAAACATGATTTTTGGAGGCTAATCCTAGCAACAGTGTGATAAATACATGTGTTATTCAGCGCCAATAAAAGTTTCAATATTTTGTGAATAAAGACCAAATTTATTGAGTAAAAGTTGATAAAAGTGTTAGTGAGAGGTGATAAATCACATCACGAAAAACTAAGAATAAAAAACTCTTTTATATAATTTTATTCTATAATTTGATAAATCAAATAAACGTAAGCAAGGTGAATTTAACCTTTAATAGATTAGCAAAACTACCTAATTAGTCGAACCTGTAAAAAAAGCAGGTCCGGCTGGCTTTAAAAAATTTTAAATGAAACATTTTCCGAATCAACAATATTATAAATGATGACTTCAACCAACAACGATAACATTAATAAACCTTACACCTATTCAACTGCCCTCACTCAACAACAACCTACCGCTTTTCCATCAAAAGAACAAGCTATTGTTTTTCATTCCTTAAATGGTGTTAAACTAGAAGAATATCTCTTAGCCATTGGAATGTTAATCCGAAGAACATCTTATTCTGTTCAAGAATATCCAACAACCAAATATGTATGTACTTATCAAGCAAAACTATCGTAGATGAATTCATGAAACAACATCGATGAATAATCGCAGTAAATGGAGACGAAATTTAAACTCGTCCATTAATAATACCCAGTCAACGATTACTATTATCAAATGTCTGCCCCTCTATTCCACACGAAATCCTCGAACATGAATTAAAACAATTTGGCTATACACTAACCTCATCTCTGAGCTTCTTACGAATAGGTTCCTCTAATCCAGCATACAAACATATCTTAAGTTTTCGTCGTCAAGTATATATATCTCCACCCTGCACCATCGTTCCTAATTCTGTAGTTATGACAGTCGATAATCCAAGTTATCTTATCTTTATGTCACATGAAAGTCAAGAATGCACTTCTTGTAATCTAAAGGGCCATTTCGCTAATAACTGCCCAAATCCTCCCAATACGACCTTACCTCAGAATATCACCACAACCCTGAAACACTTTATGCAATGACTATTTTATCAAAAGAATCGACAAAATTACCTGAAAATCTGAACAAAAATTACTCAACTAAAGAAAAACATGAGAAAACATCCCAAAAACTATTGGAAACCGATATCACAAGTGCTAAACGAAACTTTTCCGATGCAAATACACCCCCCACCGCTGAAATATTCGCAGAGCCTTTTATCGCTTTAAAGGCAAAACCCATCAAAAGACCAAAAACTTGTAATGAAGTAGAACAGTTATTAGAGCCAGCAAAAACTGTATTTAAAGAAGAAACTCTCAAATTGAGCTTTGATCAGATCGTAGACTTTTTTGAAAACTCATATGAGCACAAAGACCTTGTCAGTCTAGTGAAAACATACACCGAAGATATTCACGACTTCTTAAAAACATTGTCTAAAATGCACCCGCACTATAAGGATCGAGTCATAAAAAGCAGAAGTACCAGAATACGAAAAAAGATAATAAAACAACTTGACATGAATCCAGCTGCCATAAAACTGATTCTAGAGGACTCTGATAGCTCTGTAGAGTCTTCACAAGAATAATCATATATAAGAATAATAAAAATGGATTGCATACTACAGTGGAATATAAAGTGATTTTATACTCACTACGAAATGTTTAAACACTTATGTTCAGAAATCCTACCATCCATTATATGTATACAAGAGACGAATTTTAAAGACAGCATACTTACCATAGGAAGAATTATACATGTTACTATAAAAATCGGAGCGATGCAACTATAGCTAGTGGAGGAGTCGCTATGTATATAAACCAAAATTACGAATCAAAAATTGTGGCAATTAAGAGTGATCTAGAAATAGTAGTAGCAACGGTTCTATTTCCCCAAAAAATATGTACCTATTTGCAATATATATATATATATATATATATATATATATATATATATATATATATATGTTCCTCCAAACCAATCAATAACAGAAACAGATCTTACATATTTATTGGATTAAATTCCAACTCCGAGAATAATTATAGGTGCTTTGAATAGTCATAATCCAATGTGGGGATCTCTAGGAACAAACTCTAAAGAAAAAATCTGGGAAAACTTTATAATTTCTAAAAAGTTAAACCTGCTAAACGACGGTCAACCAACCCAATACAATATTCACATGGGTTCCTCATCAGCCATTGATTTATCAATTTGCGATCCTGCGTTATCACCAAACCTTTCATGGGATGTAATACCGTTTTTGTATTTCCATTCCAAAAGATCAATCTATCGATGAAATATTAAGTTTCTTTACATCACTATTGTATACCGCTGCTAACATTTATGTAGGAAAAACAAAAATTTTGAAAAAAACTTCCCTTCCATGGTGGAATGCAGATTGTAGCCGAGTTATTAAACAATATAAAAATTCTTTTAACAAAATAAAGCGTTGCAAAACTGTAGAAAACATCATCGAATATAAGAAATTACGGGCCCAAGCTAGATATGTTACAAAAACAAGTAGAAAAGTATCTTGGCAAGAATTTCTGTCTAGTATTAATAATTCTATGCCTATAGGTACTATATGGGAAAAGGTTAGAAAAATACCTGGATGCAATAGATATAAAAAATTCCGTTCGTGTATGGAAACAAGGAAATATTATCATCTGACGTTAAAATAGCAGAGTTATTTGCTAAACAATTCGAAATTAACACTAGTAACAACTATTCCAAAGACTTTTTAAACATTAAGATACCTACAGAACAACAACTAATTGATTTTATTGGCATGGAAGATAACCCCGTCATCAAACCATTTACAATAGAAGAACTAAATCATTCCTTAAGTACCACCAAAAAGTCGGCACCAGGACCACATGACATTCCGGTAAGCTTTCTTCAAAATCTACCTGACAATGCAAAGCTGTTCCTCCTTGACATCTACAACAAAATTTGGTATAGTCATGAATTTCCATCGAAATGGGCGGAGGCAATAGTAATACCTTTATTGAAAGCAAACAAAACAGGAACTGACCCTAAATCATATAGACCAATTTCCCTTACTAACACAATATGCAAAATATTAGAAAAAATGGTAACTAAAAGGAAAATAACTTAATAATTAACGAACAAAGTGGATTTCGAAGAAACGAGTCAACTCTGGATAATTTAATAGATTTAGAGTCAGAAATACACGAAAGTTTTGCTATCATCCAGGAATGTCTTGTGGTATTTGTTGATATAAATAAAGCTTTCGATATGGCTTGGAGGTACGATATTTTAAACACATTAAGTCACTGGGGAGTCAAAGGTCACATGCTCTGTTTTATTCGTAATTTCCGTAAACAATTAGAAATTTAAAGTACGTGTAAAGGGTATTACATCAAATATGAAAAATCAAGAAAATGGAACTCCACAAGGATCTATTATCAGTTTCACACTTTTTTTGATTTCAATAAATAAAATATTAGATAATTTACCAAAACTTGTTAAAGCAAGATTATATGCTGATGATTTAGTATTATATGCAAAAGGAAAAAAATATTCGCTCGATCAAAAAATCTACAATGTACATTAAATCATCTTGAGAATTGATTAAAAGGCTGTGAGAGTACAATTTTCTATTACCAAAACAAAACTGTATATTGTTCTCAAAAAAATCGACATTCTACAAAGCCAAATCTGCAGATATATGGAAACAGCTTAGAATATATTGATCACATAAATTTTTTAGGTATGTTTTTTAATAACAAACTCTCTTGAAAAATGCACATTATGTACGTCAAGAAAACTTGCCAAACTGGTCTAAATTTATTGCGAACTCTGTGTAACAACAATTAGGGTTGAGATTTTAAAAGTCTTATTAACATTTACAAATCATTTATACGATCAAAGATTGATTGCGGATAAATAGTTTACGCTTCTGCCAAGAAAACATTACTTGCTCAGCTCGAAACTATACAGAATACAGGATTAAAAATAGCCACAGGAGCTTTTTGTACCAGTCCAATTGAAAGTCTACAATGTTTAACTGGTGAACCACCTGTGAAATTCAGGAGAATATATCTGTCGTTAGCTTATGCTTAAAATATTTATTCGATAAAGTCACATCCCGCTCTTTATAATACAATTGGGGACCGTTTTAAAGATATTTATGTTAAAAAAAAACTCGAACAGATCCTCCATTCTACGAGATAATTCGAAGGTTGTTATCCTCTTATAGCATTCAATATCCAAACTTCTTTGATAAGTCAACTACGGCTGCACCATGGACAATACCCCCTTTACAATGCGATCTAACTCTTACCAAATACAACAAATTTAAAACTTCTCACAAATTAATAAACCAAGAATCATTTAACAAACTGTCCTGTTTTTCTAATCAATATCACATCTATACAGATGCATCCAATTCCACTGATGGTGTAGGATCAGCAATCGTCACTCCAAATACCACATTGCAATTCAAACTATCACCTACTAGTAGTATTCTCTCTGGAGAACAACTGTACTCGATTCTACAAGCATTAATTCATATAAACAACCACAACATTTCAAAAACCCTGATAATTACTGACTATCTTAGTGCATTACATTCAATAAAACAGCTCTATACCAATAATCCTATCGTTCATCTAATACAATATCAATTACACCTTATAAACCAGGCAAAACAGCAAATTCGTTTCATCGGCGTACCATCACACACTGGTTTTAAAGGAAATGAAATAGCGGATACGCAAGTGTAGGTGTAAAAAATTAAAAAAAAAAAAACATTTTCATCAATATTTTTATGTTATTTAAAACAGAGTTTTGAAAACTGCCGAATACGGTTATGATATTTTCGCTGATGATATGTAAGTGCTAAAGAATGTAAAATAAAAAAACTAATAAAAAACGATCAAATTATAAAAAAAAAAGAATATACCCTATATCGTGTCATTAAATTCATCCATTTCTTTTTTATCTTGGTGAGTGTTACATATTGAGGGGCTCCAGTTTCTTTTAATTCTTCGAAGACCAACCTAAAAGCAGGTATATACTAACTAATATTACTTAAGAGAACTATATTTACTTCCAGCCTTCCGAAGCAGAATTTCTGCGCCTAGTGAACATCTTCGAATGCTTCATTCTCAAATTTATTAAGACTTGTACCCAAATGGGATCAACTAAAAACAAGTACTTAATTATTAACACAAACTTATTGTAAATATATCAAATAAATTAGTAAAATAAGTATATTAACCCAAATAATAACCACAATTTGGGATCTATGTTAGTTTACAAATCAAATATCAATAAGAAACAACTTTTTTAAGGGCATTTTGATAAGGATAAGTATGACGACAAGACAACGCCCTACCTTAATCCTACAGGTCGATCAGCCTTACATCATTTCTGTTAAAGACAATCAAAAAAATACTTAAGATACATATTAAAATAAGGTCATTGAGTGATCATCCTCTAGATCATCCTCTAATAGAAACAGCACTTGACGAACAAACAGCAATATCAAGAGTTTTTCAACATACGCAGCAATAGGTTTCTCTTGTGGGAGGTGACTACAATACGAAACACACTTACTGGCGATCTAGATGAATAACTCCAATAGGCAGACAACTGTATATGGCAATGATAAGTAATAATAATTATATATATATATATATATATATATATATATATATATATCAACAGTTGAACCTACATACTGGCCAACCGGTTACAACAGAACTCCAGACTTGGTCGATTTCACTAAGAGGAAATCCACCAAAACGTCGAACAGTACAATCTTGTTTTGAATTTTCGGTCGACCACTCTCCTATCATGGTTACGATATCCATAGAAATTCTTGGAAGGAAACATCCACCATTCCTAGGTAATAAATTGACGAATGGGGAAATATTTCGGAATATTATTGATAACAAACTAGATACAAAAATACCTCTGAAAAGTAACGGCAATATAGACGAAGCTGTTGAACAATTTTCTAAAATAATAATAATAATAAGAAGCAGCTTGATAGTCAACACTAACCAGACCGTTGAAAACTAAACAACAACACAGGCCTAATGAAATCAAAGACAAAATTACAGAAAAGCGAAGATTAAGAAAAACATGGCAGAGAACATGCGCGTCTTAGGATAAAACTGAAATAAACCAAGCAACCTTCAAATTCAGAATTCTTCTAAATAATCATAAGAATAATAGATTCGGTATTACCTACCTGAAAAACTTATTAGCAACGGAAATCACCATTTACTCACTTTGGAAGGCAACACTGACCTGTGATTAAATCGACCTTAATTAACCAACCCTCCTATTCAAATAGGTAATGGAAGATATGCTAGGAAAAACAAAGAAAAAGCCGAAGCGTTTGCCGATTGCTTGGTGAATGTGTTTCAGCCAAACCCTCCAGACGACAACAAAAACCTTGACATCAAAAACGAGACCCATAAAGTTTTAGAATCACCGTATCAACCTAAACTACTCTTAGAAAAATTTACTACCAAACAAGATCACCAGAAGATACAATCAGACTTGAACCCTAAAAAGTCTCCTGGACACGACCTGATTACCGCTAAAATCCTCCAAAAAAAGGAGTTCTGTACTTGACACAAATATTTAATGCAATCCTAAGAACGGGCTACGGCCCTATTCCATGGAAAGTGGAACAAATTATCGCAATTCCTAAGCCAGGTAAACCTACATAAGACATTGAATCATATAGACCTATTAGTATAATTATAGTTTTATAGACCTGGGTTTTCGATCGCATCCATGTCGAAGACGTCTTACACCTACTGTATAAAAGAAACATACCAATCAATATTATACAAACCATCGAAAACATCTACTTCCTTAATCGAATGCAGGCAAAGATAAATAAAAAACTAACACAGTGTATACCAGTACAAAGCGGAGTCAGACAGGGTGACTCGTTAAGCCCATTTCTCTTTAATATAATAATGGACGAAATAATACAAGCGTAAGAACGTAAGGATAATGATTACATAATGGAGAACAAAGATATCAAAATATTACGTTATGCAGACGACGCCGCATTAATCGTCGAAACAGAGGACGAGCTCCAAAGAAAAACACACATCTTTAATACAACAGCCAAAAAATACAATACGATTATCTCACCAGACAAAACCAAATGTATGACAACATCTAAATACCCACTACGATGTAAAATCGAAATGAATGGAAAAATAATAAAGCAGGGGGCAACGTTTAGATATCTAGGAATAGATATAATAAGTTACGAAGATGTTGAAGAAGTATGACAACAAAGCTGAAAAAAAAGTAAAGCCTCGGGATCTCTTAATGACACAATCTGGAAGAACAAACACTTAAGACAAGACACAAAATCAAGAATCTATAAAACAGCAATTAGACCTGTATTAACATACACGGCGAAGACAAGGCCTGACACATCTAAAACGAAACGACTACTAGCAATAACAGAGATACAAATACTTCGACGAATATCAGGAAAAAGTCTGTTGGATAAGGAGAGAAGTGGAAACAAGAAGAATTTGCTATATGCAAGACATAAATCTCACTAAAGACGAAAGACCAACACAACCAACGCGCAAACTTCCTTCCGAAAACTTATCAGGGCCATCAATAATGCGAAGTGAAATAGAATATGCAGTTAGAACCACAAAGATGCATAAAGCAACAGGTCCAGATGAAATTAATATAGAAGCAATAAAACTACTAGACGAGGAGAATATCGAAATCTTGGTAAGGCTGTTCAATAGAATTTATGATACTGGTTACATTCCGCGAGAATGGCTGCAGTCATCCTTTGTGATGATCCCAAAAACAGCTAATGCCACAAAATGCAATGAACACCGCTTAATCAGTTTAATGAGTCACTTGTTGAAACTCTTCCTTAGGATATTACACTCAAGAATGTATAAGATACTAGAAGAACTTAGCGGGTCAACACAATTCGGTTTTTAAGGGAGGACTAGGAACAAGAGAGGCAATTTTATGTTTGAACACCTTAATACAAAACTGCTTAGATCAACGAAAAGATGTCTACCTCACCTTCATCGACTACGAGAAGGCATTTGACAATGTTAAACATGATATCATGATGGAACTACTACATAGGGCCAACATTGACCAGAAGGAGATCAGAATTATTCAGAATCTATACTGGAACCAAATGGCAAAGGTGAGGATTGATCAAGACCAATATACGGATGAATTTGAAATCCGGAAAGGTGTCCGCCAAGGCTGCATACTCTCTCCGATGCTTTTTAATTTATATGTTGAAAATATATTTGCAGAAGCATTAGAAGATACGGAATTAGGCATTAAGGTGAACGGCATACCAATTAGCAACCTACGCTATGCGGACGACACAGTGATTATAACTGATAATTTGGAAGATCAGCAGTTATTACTTGATAGGGTGAATAGCATAGGTAAAAAATATGGCCTCAAAATCAACATTTTGAAAACGAAATATATGGTCATTAGCAGAAACCCTCCAGAAAACCCGATATTATGCATAGGTGACAATCGTATAAATCGCGTGAAAACTTTTAAATACCTTGGCACCACAATCAATGACCAATCGGATCCACAACACGAGATAAAAACCCGAATACAAATGGCAAAACAAGCTTTTGTGAAATTCAGACCGCTCCTATGTAATCAACACCTAAACTTCGAAATACGCTACAGAATGGTCAAGTGCTACATATGGTCCATCTTGCTTTATGGCATGGAAACGTGGACTTTGAAAAACACATCTATCAACAAACTCGAAGCATTTGAAATGTGGTCATTGAGAAGAATGATGCGCATACCTTGGGTGGATAGAGTTCGAAACGATGACGTCCTTAATAGAGCCGGCGTGGAAAGAGAACTTTTTGAATTAATTAAAAAACGCAAGATTGGTTACCTTGGGCACATATTGAGAGGAGCAAAATATGAAATACCACAGTTAATCCTACAAGGGAAGATCGAAGGTAGGAGAGGAGCCGGCCGCAAACAATTGTCCTGGTTAAGGAATATTAAAGAATGGACAGGAATACACAATACAGGTGAGCTGTGTCACGCCGCCAAGAACAGAATTCTAGTAATGAGATAGTCGCCTACGCACTTTGGTGTATGGCATGTTAAGAAGAAGAAGACATAAATGGATAAGTGACAAAACGAAAACAGGAATGGAACGAACACATTAGTAAAATGGCAGAGGATAGGATAGTACGAATAGCACAAGATAAGTCACCAATTGGACGAAGAAGTATTGGCAGACCAAGAAAAAGATGTAGCGATAATTTAAACAATTTAGGAGGCTCATATTACAGAAGAAACAGGCTTTAAAGCCTACATACAAGAAGGAAGAAGAAGAAGAAGAAGAAGAAGACCTATTAGCCTACTGTCGATAGTTTTAAAGGTTTTTGTACTGTTGGATAACTTACAACCAATTCTTGCGAAACACCAACTAATACGTAACCACCAGTTTGGATTTAGACAACATGCCACCACTGGTCAAATACATAGAGTCTGTAATTTTATTCATGAAGCTCTAGAAGAAAGGAAATACTGTTCAGCGGCCTTTTGGATATTTTTTTTAGCCTTTGATAGAGTTTTGCGGTCCAACCTAAGGTTGGAAATCGTCATGGCTATACGGACCCTTCTAAATAGTTCTGCACTACTGTATTCAAACCATCTCCTTAAGTTCTTAGCCATGATATTCTCCGTCTTCCCACATTTCGCTTTTCTCGAATTTTGCCTTGAATAATAATCAGTTCATTGCACATGATCATCAAGTCAATTAAAGAAGAGATCACAAATTGCTCCCAAAAATATTCTCTGAGGCTTGAAAACCATCCTAACCATTTTACAACGAACCTTATGAGGCCGCTACGAAATCGAAGACTAAAGTGACATGCTCCCAGTGATTTTTCAACAAGCTTTCTAAACTGAGTTATTTTTAAATTTTTTGTAGAGATCCTAAATTTACAAATATTTTTTGTTAAAATACTTTTATAAAATATAAATAGAAAATTGTCTTGGGATAATTTCTTGCATGTTACTTGTTAAATAATTACACAATTTACTTTGTGTATAAATGGGAAGTTTAAAAAAGGAAAAAATAATACGGATATACCCTCTAATATCAACTCATGCGAAAGAAGAGATAAATAATTTGTAAGATGAAATATCACTTAAACAAGAAAGTCTTTTATAGCCTGATCATAGAAGACTTTAACGCCAAATTGGTAAATCAAGGAAACAGAAAAAGATCAAGAGACAAACATGAAATAGACATTAAAAATGAAAGAGATGAAAATCTTCAAGATCTTGTGAAAAAATACAAACTAAAATCGATAAACATCTTATTTTGCAAAAAGGAAAAAAGAAAGTTAAGATAAAGTTAAGACATAGGTACCCAAAATAAGATGCATTTTTTTATTATCAACAAATCGAACCTTATACGAGATGACAGTGTGCTCAAGCAAGTGCGTTTGATGCAGCCTATTCCAACAAAGATTAAAATAATCAGTAAACTAGAAGTACAAAGATTATCAAAAACAACTATAAGTAGCATACATGCTACAAAAATATTTAAACGCAAAGAAAAATATAAAATATTTCGAGAAAAGCTTTACTAAATAGGGCTATAGATAACTGTCAAAAGGTGAGAGATCTACATAATTAAATCATTAAAAGTATATATAAAAGCAATGACATGTTATCCAACATAAGTTAAAACTATTGAAGAATCTGATATTTTAAAATATAAAATTGTACAACTGATCCTTAAAGGCAAAATAGAGGGCCGTAGAGGTGTAGGAAGAAAACAAGTTTCTTAGTTAAAAAACATTCGTGAATGGACTTAGATACCAAATGCAGGACAATTATTCCATATTGCAGAAGATCGAGAAGCCTCCGCAATGGTGATTGCCAACGTCGGATAGTTCTGATATGGCACGCGAAGAAGAAGATCTGATATTAGGAAGCAACAAACGAAGAGATTACTCAACAAAAAAAGATTAAAAAAAGAAAGAAGGAGAGCTATGGAAGATTCATAACGGAAAACTATCGAATTATAGAAAGGTCATACAAGAGAACAAAGGGTCCAAAGCTTTGAGTCAAAATCCAACTATGGACAATAAAACGAACAGAGTGCCTGGGTCGTAGACACGGCAGTAGAAATAGTGCACATCTCCAAGAAACACCCTCAATCACAAATCAGCATTCATCTCGAAATCAACTGCAATCACTGCCGCATCGGGATAAGACCTGCAGGAACCAGATACTAAACATAAAACCACAATTGTTTTAGACTACGTATTGTAATGCAGGAAACCAATTATTATTCTAATCGTGTTTTAAGAATCTACTACTAGAAGTGTCTATTTCTTAAATTCATCATTTGTTCCCTATATATAATTTATAATCTATATATGTGAAATAGCTAATCCTTTTTTGTTTATCATTTATAAGTCTCTTCTGTATTTCATGTCTTGTATTTCCATTTATCTCGAACCGTGATTATTGTGGCCTGAAATAGTGTGACGCAATAATGATACCAATATTAAAGAACACGGTTACATATATTGTAACCCATTTTAAATAATTTACAATTTCTTACGAGTAGATATATCAGATAATTTTAAAAAAACTTTATTTAGAATTTCAGCTATCAGCCGAAAGCTTTTAAAACATTTGTAAAAATCGCGAAAATATATATATCGATGTTCAGAATGAAAACAATACTGAATATTATTAGCATCATTTCCACATATTTGAAGTAGATAATTAAATAGTAGTTACACACTTCAAATTTAATAATCTATAAATTTATTTTACAAGCAATATACGAATATACTAACTTTCAGTTGAATTTTACTTAAATCGATGTTATCAAAATTAGACTTACACTTTGTGCATTTCGAAGAGTATATTTCTTGTTCACTCGCAGATACCATTTCGTTTTCTTGACTTTCCATTTTAGACAGAAGTAAAAAGAAAGTACCAAGTAAATAAAGTTCAATTTTTTCGTTAAGATTACTAAACTGTCAAATAATATCGTCGATAGGTGTAACTAAGGATGATTAAAGAGAGGGGTGCGTCCAAAAAAAATACCAACTACTTTAAATCAATTGTACCTATAATAACAGAAAAGTTATAATTGAATACTTAAGTTTTCTGTATAGTTTAATAATTTTTTTCATGTTTTTTTCGAAAGGTTAATTAGAGAATTAATAATAGTAGAAGGACGTGATTGGATACTATAGAGTGTTTGCTTTAAATTTAAACCAATCATAATGTATTATGATTTACCTGTCGCACTTGGATTGTATTTAAATTATGTAGCTTTTTAAAAGTTAAAAGTAGAAAATTAAGGAATAAGATGTATATTGTAATCATTAAAGAACAGAAAACGTAAAACAAGTAGAAAAATAACCGATTCTGGAGATGTTGTACTTAAATTGAGTTGACAAATGTGTTTCGTAAATGACTAAAATAAATAAAATGTAATTTATTTCGACAATCCATAAAAAAATAATACAAAAGAGTTCAAGAAATATTGAGAAACCTTAATTACTCGCACCACTAGTAAAGGTCCCTAATAGCACACGTACGTCCAGTGGACGTCCATAGTACGTCCCTCGCGGACTTTAGGGACGTCCCTCGAACGTCCGCTTTGGTCCTATTTACGCCCGTTTTACGTCGTATATTGGTCCGAATGTCGCTGCGCCAAACGTCCTAATCGTTAATTGGACCTTAATCGAACGTCCAGAGGACTTACTTGACGGACTTTTGTGATGTTTTCGGACGTCTATTTTAGCGCTGAGGATGTAAATTAGATGTCAACGCCATTATATACAGTACTAAAAGTGGTGTCATCCTGTGCATATTAAGAATTTATTTTGGGAAACAAAACGTAAATGTTTACAGGAACTTACATTTATATTACATTTATTTATATTTATTTATTTTTAACAAACGGCACAAATCCACTGTCAAAATTATATAAAAATGCAACATTATAGAAATATAAAATAATTTTGTGTAATAAAACATAAATATTTAAAGGAAGTAACATTTATTATTCTTCTCTTCTTCTTCCTTTGCCCTATCCGTTTCGGACGTTGGCTATTAACAAGGCTATTTTGACTTTGTTTAAGGCACCTCTGAACAGTTCGGTAGATGTTAGTCCGAACCATTGTCCAAACCATTGTCCGAACCACGTTAGTGATGTGGTCTGTCCAGGATATCCGAAGAATACGGCGATATATCCACAGCTCAAAGGATTCTAGTTTCTTCAGGGTGGCTTCCGTTGTGGTCCATGCCTCTGTTCCATGAACAAGACCGGGAAGACATAACACTTGACCAGTTTTAATTTTAGTTCCATTGAGATTTTGCTTGTGAACCACTTTTTCATATTGTTGAACGCGTTTCGCGATTTTTCAATTCGTGATCTTATTTCTGTTGACTGGTCCCATTTTGTGTTGACTGTGGTTCCAAGGTATGTGTATGTCTCCACTTGATCTATTTTTCGGTTGTTTAATGTCAATTGCATCGGAGGTTGTTGTGTTCTGCTGATGAGCATGCATTTAGTTTTGGTTGTATTAAGTTCTAAACCATATTCTTGACTTGCTGTGTGTATGCTTTGCATGAGTCTTTGAAGCTCGTTGCAGTCATTTGCGATAATAACTGTGTCGTCAGCATATCTAATATTATTGATTACCTCTCCGTTTACTTTAATACCCTCCGAAACTTCTCCCAGTGCTTCTCTGAAGATTTGTTCAGAGTATATATTGAACAGGAGCGGCGAGAGGACGTATCCCTGTCGTACACCCTTTTCAATATCTATCTTCCCACTGTGTAAGCTGCCCATCTTTATCTTAGCACTTTGGTTCCAATAGAGACTGGTCATTATACGCAGATCCTTGCCATCAATATGCATCTTCCTGAGAATTTCCATGAGTTTATCATGTTTGACCTTGTCAAACGCCTTGGTCACCATTGTCGCAGGTTATGCATCCATGAGTGTCGTCTTGGAGAAGTCGATGAAGCACAAGTGGACGTCCTTGTGCATGTCTCTGCATCTTTGAATTAAAACTTGCAGACTGAAGATCGCCTCTCTTGTGCCCAATCGAACTGTGATTCCGATATATTTGCTTTGCATTTGTTATATATTCTATTATATATGATTTTGGTGAAAACTTTGGTAATGTGATTTATCAAGCTTATTAAGCGGTGTTGATCACAGTGTTTTGCACTTGGTGTTTTAGGTAAGGCTACAAAGGTCGATCGAAGCCATTCCTCCGGAATCTTCCCTTTGTCGTAAAAGGTGTTAAAAAGGCCTATCAGGAAATCGAGGAAGTGGTCATCCGTTTCGCATAGGAGTTTTATGATCTCGCCCTGTATGTTGTCTGGACCTGGTGTTTTGTCGTTTTTTAGCGATGAAATGGCTTTTTCTACTTGAGACCTTAGTATTACGGGTCCAGTCATGTAGTCATCTTGGTCCACTGTAGCTCTGCGTTTATCGTTAAAAAGTCGTTCTACGTAATCTTCCATGTCGTGAAATGCAAATTTTAGATTTCCCATGTCTCTTTTAACACTTTCATCAACGTTTGTTTTGCTTAGCAATTTTTAGAAAGCACGGATTAAAGCAGAAATCTGAATTGTGTTTCGAAACTATTTTACGGATTTATTATCAGATGTCGCTATTGCGTCCATATCAAAGCCATTTTAGTGTTACTTAAAAGACAGAAAATATTGATTTTTCACGTTGAGAACGCCTATAAATAACTGTTCTGATGAGACCTATTAGGTCGAAATACGTATCAACAGATACATAGACGCTGTTTGCGTGAAATCAAATATTTGGTGTCTTTTTCATTTTATTCGGAACTACTCTGTATGAGTACAAGAAATCAATTCGCTAAGAATTTCTGCTTAGTTGAAAAGACATGTCGTGGAATGCAAATTTTAGATTCTCCATGTTTCTTTTAACACCTTCATCAACGTCTGTTTTGCTTTGCAATTTTTAGAAAGCACAGATTAAAGCAGAAATCTGAATTGTGTTTCGAAACTATTTTACGGATTTATTATCCGATGTCGGTATTGCGTCCATATCGAAGCCATTTTAGTGTTGCTTCTTAAAAGACAAAAAATATTGATTTTTCACGTTGAGAACGCCAACTGTTCTGATGAGACCTATTAGGTCGAAATACATATCAACAGATACATAGACGCTGTTTGCGTGAAATCAAATATTTGCTGTCTTTTTCATTTTAAATACTAAAGACTTCCGCAAGGAGAAAAGAATAATGACGAGATACTCAATATGATGGAACAACGGAGACAATTTAAAAACAAGGACAACAATAAATACAGAGAGATAAACCACGAAATCAGGAAGATGATAAAGCAGGCAAAAGAAAAATACTTTGAAGAGCAATGCAAAGAGATTGAAGACCTTCAAAACAAATATGATCTGTTTAACCTACACAAAAAAGTTAAAGAACTGGCAGGACGAAGAAAACAAAATCTCACTCGTGCAATTCTGGATAGACACGGGACTAATATAACACATACGGAGGAGAAAATACTAAGATGGGCAGAATATATCGACGAATTGTTCGATGATGAAAAAGATCTGGAGCACATAGAACTTACGTCATAAAAAATAGGTGAATATATTACAAAAGAAGAAATATTACACGCATTAAAAACAATGAAGATGGGAAAAGCCTTGGTACTGACATGCTTTTAACAGAAATCCTAAAAATTCTATATGAGAAGCACATTGATGTTTTAGTGACACTCTTCAACCAAATTTATAGTTCAGGCGTATTACCCACAGAGTGGTTAACATCGATTTTCATTTGTCTCCCTCAAAAGAAAAACGCAAGAGAATGTAGCGATTACCGCACCATTAGCTTGATGTCTCATATGCTAAAGTTACTACTTAAAGTCATCATAAACATTGAAGATCTTCAAAGACTGGTGACTAGAATAGCAGAGTATGAGAAAAAATATGGTTTAACAATGAATGTCAAGAAGACGAAATTTATGAGAATATTGAAAACTCAAAGAAATAACGAGAATCTTCTAATAAACGGAACCAACGTCGAACAAGTGGACAAATATGCATATCAGGGAACAATGATTAACTCCACAAATAATTACAATCAGGAGATCAAAATAAGAATAGAAAAGGCTAGAGCAAATTTTAACAAAATAAGAAGAGTGCTATGTACCAGCGATTTAAAACTAGAACTAAGAGTTAGGTTGGCGAGGTGCTATGTTTTTCGACTTTATTTTATGGAGTAGAATCTTAGACCTTAAATGCGACATCAATGAAAAAACTGGAATCATTCGAGCTGTGGGTGTACAGAAGAATATTGAAAATATCGTGGACAGAACACGTCACAAACAAAGAAGTTCTTGGAAGAATGAATAAAGAAATGGAAATTTTAAACACAGTAAAAACAAGAACATTAGAATATCTCGGACATATTACACGTGGAGAGAAATACACTCTGCTCCAATTGATTATGCAGAGAAAAATACAAGGAAAGAGAAGCATAGAGAGACGTAGAATGTCATGGCTACGCAACTTGAGAGAGTGGTACGGATTTACATCAAATGAATTTTTCAGAGCAGCCATCTCAAAAGTCCAAATAGCTATGATGACTGCCGATCTCCGCCGCGGAGATGGCACTTGAAGAAGAAGATATATAACCCAAGTAGCTAAAATTTTTATCGGCGGCGCTGGTAAACAAAACTTACCTAAACTCTGATCTCGAGGGAACACGCTTCTTTGGGATAGTTATCAAAACGTAAATATTAATGAATTTTACACTAACATTTAGTGTCATCCATGGTCTCTGTCCTTTTCACTGTATATAATTTGTTCTTTTTTTTTGACATAAACCAGCGAAAAACATTATTTCCTGCATCTCTGATTTTGAGCCGTCTCTGTATACAGTATGCTTGGGTGGTGTTGAAATCCAGTATTGGCGATA